CAAACTCAGCCCCAGGACAGGCTGCTGTTCCTGCAGCCTCCAAAGGCTCAGGCTGCCTGGCTGGCCCGGAATTCCTTTATTTGCAGTTATGTCAGGACACTTTGCACAAAGCAAATACGAGGCTGCCTTTATCCAAACATATGCAGTGTTTTCAGAAGTAATTCTGCTCTATTAGAGCATATTTAAATGATGATATTCTGCATCTTCAAACAAACCACCACCAATGCAAGTCAGCAAATGAAGCATTCATTAACCTGCTGTGACTTCATGGGTAAATTGCCATTTGTAAAACATTCTGGAGTCCTCTGACTCCAGAGAACCACAACACAACTCAGTTGTACTGCATTGTATTATTGTATTATTTTAGCAAATTAATTTATGCCTTATTTTTATTGTTTTGCCAGGCTACCAAAAAACCCAGTTTAGATATAGTCTAACTATATATATATATATATATATATATATATTCTAAAGCCAAATTTAACAGTTGTTTGTTAGTAAATATTAGTTACAACTGATATTATTGGTATGATAATTACAATATTTATCCTCCAGAAGATGCACCAAATAAAAATCTCTCCCTTACCACACAAATTTCATCTCCTGCTGCTGAAAGAATCAATGTGCAGGAATTCAGTTGAAACCTTTTGGGGACTCCTCTGAGTTTTCTCTCTACTCAGTTGCTCAGCCTTTCTCCCTGTCCTTTCCCACTTCCTTCCCCAGCAAGAGAACCAGGATTTGGTTTTGGAGGACAGGAGCAGAAAGGCAGAATTTGGGTTTGGAGGACAGGAATATTTCAGGGCAGAAAGGCAGGATTTTGGGTTTGGACAACAGGAATATTTCACAGCACAGATAGGAATTTGGGTTTGCAGGACGGGCGTATTTCAGGGCAGAAGGAAAGATTTGGGGTTTGAAGAACAGGAACATTTCATGGCACAAAGCCGGATTTTGGGTTTGGACAAGAGGAATATTTCATGGCACAAAGGCAGGATTTTGGCTTTGGACAAGAGGAATATATCATGGCAGAAAGGCAGGATTTTGGCTTTGGAGGACAGGAATATTTCATGGCACAAAGGCAGGATTTTTGGTTTGAACCAGGAACATTTCATGGCAGAAAAAAAGGATTTTGGTTTTGGAGGACAGGAGCATTCCATGGCATGAAGGTCAGCCCTGGGCAGGGACTGGGGCAGGTGAGGAAGAGGAGGGAGGAGGAATTGCCTGTTTTCCCTGAGCTGCCCTGCTCCCCTGTGTGCTGGCAGTGTGTTCACCTCCCACCATCACAAACTCCAGAGGATCCCCTCCCTCTGCCCCCAGCCCATTTCTCACCTGCCCTCCTGTTTCTCCTCAGCACAAATTTGGGTACATGAATGTCGATTACAGTGGGTGATTTCCTGTCTCTGTTATCTCTCCCCTCAACAAGGGGGAGTGGAATGAAAACCTCAAAGGCCATTTTTATTTTTAGCTCAGCATGATAATTTTGAAAGCAGATTCAGTGGGTGAAAGCATCAGCTCTCTCAGGTAGAGAGATAAGTAAAGCCCCTGTAACAAGGCCACAGTTTGATTGTTTTTGAGCAAACATGATATAGAGAAATCTTCAGAATAATAAATATATGAGTTAAAGAAGCAGAAGAACAAATAATTTTTTCTTTTTTTACTTTTATTAATAATAATTCAGTATCTGACTATAGAGGAGTGGAAGAACAGAACGATAAAGCAGCTTTGGAATCTTTGCATCTGAATAAATGATATATATGTAGATGGAATAAATATCTTGAATTGGCCACTGAGATTAGTAACACACATGAAACTATTCTAATCTCATTATCTCATAACCAACTATTCTTGTCTCTTGCTTAGGAAACAAGTAAATAATGGGTATTGAATATTTTCACAGCATCTCTGCAGCTCAGGGTTCTGTTCTCAGTGGTTTATCTGATTTCTTTACTTAGGAGAAGAAATTCTGATCCAAATGAAATTTTTGTATTTTTTTTTTAATAAGTTATTTATAGAAGTTTCAGGTAAATGGGACTTTGTGCAGGATTTCCTCTGGGAGAGGAGCCTCAGATGTGCCTGTGGCCCCACAGAGGCTTTGGTGTCCTTTCATCTCCACTCCTGCAAGGCAGCAGCAGATCCTGGGGATCCCTGGAGCTCCAGGAACGTGGAGCTGACTGAAGAAGGCAGATAGGTGCCAGTGACCTGAATTTCACAGAGTTTGTGCTTTATAGTCTCTGACAGCATGGCAAGACTGGTGTCTCCTGAGCCTCCCACATGTCTGCTGCTCATCAAAGTGGCCTTGGAGTAAGATGAAGTAAAGTTTTACTTTGGGAACTAGGAAAAAGCAATTTTCTTTTTTTCAAATGTCACAAAGTGGTAAGAAGTAACTGCTCAAAAAAATTTATATATGAGGTCGCTGAAAATGCAGATAGGAGCCTTCCACATTGTCATTGTCAGCATTGAATCTGCACGTAATTACAATTACACAAGGAAATTAATTTTAGCTATAGGGAGACATTTATAGAAATGCCAGGGTGTGGGTGTTTCCATGTATAGTACCCGAAATCCTTTATAAAGGTTGGCATTTCAAGCTGCCAACAGGATTGTTCTCCCAGGAGAGCTTCTTTGGGCAGAAAATCAATCAAATAAAAGATGATAAATACGTGACAAAGGTCTGTAGTAATCCCAAATGTCCACAGTTAATTACTGGTAATAATCTCTATGTTAGTGATGAGTTGGTCAGGAGCTGAGATTTTTCTTCTAATAAATTAATTATTGATAGACTTTAAAAGGTGTAATTATGTTTTTTATGTTTCAAGTGCTAATATCAACAATTTTCTCTCCCTCTGTATTTATATAGATATTCTTCTTTGCTCTTTTCTAAATTACAGCAACTAATAATCAGTTACAATAATCTATGAGTTGTTCAATGGTTAAATCATATTTTTCTTTTTCACACTGTTATAGAGTCTTTTTAAATTTCCCTGCTACAGACTATGCTTCAGTTAATGAGATTACATTATTCAATATCTTTGGAAATTAATGCTTGGTAATGCAGAAAAATTTGTGCTGTTGAAAGACTGACCTCTAGAAAAATGTGTTTTATTATCAGAAGCAAATTTCTCCCTAGTAAGTCTTTTTTCAGCCCAATATATGCAAGTTCACATCCCACTCATGAAATCCATCTGATCAAAAGAAATCTGGAGCCACAATCCAAGGTGATCACGTGGGGCAAAAGTGGATTTTGTGCATTTTCTTGGAAGGAAATAAATATCTGAGTTCTTATAGCAGTGAGAATTTGTAATTCAGGGGCCGGGAAGAGCAGCCAGAGCAGGTGAGGGAGGGTTATTCCAGCTGTGCCAGGGAACAGAGCGTGGGATGGGACCCATTTGGGGCAGGGAATAAACCCTGGTTTGGAAACACTTTGCTTTTAATTTGGGAGCATTTTCGGAAAAGGAAATTAAGGAATAGAATGGGAAGCACTGACTGAATTAGTAGTCCCACTTTTAGCTGCTAAAATTAGAAACCTTGGAAGTCAGAGGGATAAGAGGAGGAAAGCTTTGAGCCTTCTGGTAGAATAAATTCTATTTTTGTAACAGCAGCACGGGGAGTGCTGCTGTCAAAGTTCTTCTGCTCGCTTGGCCACACAATATTTTCCTGGGCTGTCCCCAGTATTTCCAGGGATGCTCAGACTGCTTCATTTGTGTTTAGCAGGGCATTTTCAGCACCAAAACAACCTCTCTGAAAGAGCTATTTTGCTTTATCTGTGTGCTGTTAACACTTCCAGTCTGCTTTGAGAAAATGTGAGTATTTCTACAGGGTATTTTCAATATCTGTAAGTTCTCCAGGCTACATTTCAGCGTGCTCAGAGGAGAATTGAGGCATTTCTGGCTGTTAGGGGTTTTGTACTCAGTCACTCAGTGGGGAGCTCTGGTTTCCACAAGGAGTGTCAGAGAACTCCTGCTTTTAGTGTAAGAGCAATTTTCATTATTTTTCATCAGATGAGGCCCCTTATTTGAGTGGGATGATCTTTGCAGCTCCCATTTGCTGGAATATTCCAGCTGAAGCACTAAAAGCTGATAACTGGTTCTGTGCTGGGCTCCCAGGGCCAAGGGGGCTCCTTGCAGGAGGAGGAGGTGGCGAAATGTGAATGTGTTTTCTGAAGCTGCCTTAGAAACCCTGCTGCAAAAATGCACCCAGCAACTTCCTGTGCTCTGAGCTCATCTGAGGCTCAGCATTATCTGTGAGCAAACATCTGCTGCAGGCACCCAGCAGTGGCACCAAACCACAAACCCTGCCTTTGCTAAAACGATCACTTGCCTATTTGCGTATACAGAAAGTCAAAGATTTTGTAGATTTCTGTATTTATAAACAAATACAGGTGAATTTTACAGCCTGTTTGGGGGGTGGTTTTTTTGTAATCTTGTTTTTTGTGAATTTCATTTTTTGTGAATTTCCATATTTAGCTGAGGCAAAAATCCTCCATCATAAAACTTGTTTTAAAGTTACTTAAACTGTCTGAAAATTTTATTTTTAACCCCAAATCAGCTGCTGCTTACCCCACAAAGGTTCATTGCCAAACGTCACAGGAATAACCAGTGTGGTAAATCATGTTATTTAAAGCTGTGTAAGAGTGATGTCAAAGAAAGTTTGTCCTTCTGAAATTCTGTATTTTACATTGCAATATTTGCTCTTTGCATTCAAACTCCCCTTCAAATATTAACACTTTTGCAAACATTCAAACAAATTTTAACTCTCTTATTTTAAAGAGCTTTGGTCACACTCAGAGAGCATCTGAAATTTGTTTGTGAGTGCAAATGCAAGTTGTTTTAAGCATGATCTTCGTTTTAAAATAACTCTTAGCTGGAAATTGAAATAAATGTTCCATTTCCTTTGCTTTAAAGTTGCAGAATGACTGTGGTTTACCTCTGTCATTTTTTCACTGCGCTCAGAGCACCAAGGAAGTCTGGTCTTTGTGCTTAATGCTCTTCATTTTTCTTCCACAGAGACCAGGGGATCCAGTCAGCGGAGATACTGAAAGGTAATTACTTCTGTTATTATATATTTAAATATATATACTCAGTTATATTTGTGAATTAAACTTCTTTCTTTACTTTTAGAGATTTCGTTGCAGTATTTGAGGAATAGATTTTCAGGATTTAGAGATATCAGTGCTGATATCATTTACATTTGATGAATGTTTGATAAATAAAAATTACAAAGATTTAAAAAATTCTTCAGATAAAAGTTTATGAAATATTTGTAGAGGGGAAAAATTCTACTGCTATGTTGCCCAATCTACTTTTTTACTTTTGAAATTCAGTATTTCAGACTCACTCTGAGGATGAAAAATGTAATGTGTGTCTAACACAATTTTCATAACCAACAGGCAGAATGTTTCAATGAACATCTACCTCTAATTCAGCCTGTACAAAATCACGGCTTGTATTTGTGGTTTGGAGTACATAGATCTTAAGAATAGTGTCTTCAGTTTGGCCTTTAGGTCTAACTTGAATCAATTTATTCTACTGAAGAAAACAGTGATTTTGTCTTCCATTTCTTTGCTGTGTATCTGATGAAGTATCTTCATATTCATGTTGCATGCAAAAGTCACAGTTAAAGGAATGTTTGAAGCAACAGCTTCTTTGTATCATCATATATTCTAATTAAGTTTAGTTGTAATCTATGATAATTATTCTTTTTATGTTTTTTCATCCTGTACATGGCCTAAACCCATTTAAGAAGATGAATAATTAATTAGATTTAGAGTTCTTTGACCAATGTAAGGGATTTAGAGCTGCTGATGATTCCTTCAGTGCTATGAACATCCCAGAATTCAGCTAAAAGTCTGAGGTGTGACACTGTCAGCTGCTGACCATCTCACAGTTGATTTTCAGGGCAGACAGCATTTTCACCTCTTTATGTGTGTTTTAAACATCCCAACGCAGTTGAAAGGCAGCTGTGGTGGTGCCCATTGGCTGCTGTTTCCCTGGTGTGCCGTGCATGGTTAAAATGGCATTATTAACCCAATGGGGCAGCACTGTTAGCAGAGATTAAAGTTAAATACAGGTGAAATTTCACCTCATCTGTAGAGCCAGTCCTGCCTCTCCAGTTCAGCACTTCATCACCTCAGCTAAGAGTGGAGGTTTGCCTTTATACGAGATTAAACATATTAATATTTTAATATTAATATTTTGTTCCACTTCACAGCCCCCCTCCTGTGCAGGGTTACCTGGGGGGAGAGAGAGTTATTCTTGCTCTCTTTTGAATTAAAACTTCATGTCACATTTTGCCTCCACCTCTTACACCTGAGCGTTCAAAACCTGCTGTTTTCTGTAAATCTGACTGTTTTTATTTAGCCTCCCATCCTCTTTAAAGGTTCTCCTGTCCTGTTCTTCTCTCCCACCTGTTTCTCTCATTTCCAGCCCTGGGCTCCTTCTTGCCTGACTTTGTGCATCAGAGAGAGAACCCCCACCATCGTGTCTCCATCACCATTTCATTTCCTCCTCCACACCCCATTTTGGTGCAGAGGAGTTTGTTTCTCTCCTGAGCAATTTTGTTTTTCCCATAGCAAAGGGCTCCTGGTTTTTCCCAGCAGGTTGCACAGGCCCAGCTTGGCAGGGACGTTTCAATCCAGATGGAACATCCCTGGTGGACAGGACAGGGCACCTGCCAAGAAATACTTTCCAGGGACATATGACTTGTGAGAATTTTGGCAAACTTTCACAGCAAAAGGTCATGCTTTTCTATTCTTTTGTAGAAGAATCCTTCTCCCACACATTTTAGATTTCAGGCCCAAAACATGACCATGTTATGTCTTTTCAATATGTTGAAAAATATTTCAAGAGGCAGAATTATATCACCTTCCTAATAAAGTTATTTAAAGTCATTTAAATAGCTTAAACCAAAATAAAACCCAATTTTCAGATATTTATTCCCTAGAGTTAAACTTTGGCAACCAGGAGTCAAACTGTGTAGATAGATTGACGTATTTGGGTGAAATATCATTACCTTCCATGAGTGAAAGAGGGGATATTTTGGTTGGATATGCAGAAATTCTTCCTCTGAGGGTGGGCAGGCCCTGGCACAGGTGCCCAGAGCAGCTGTGGCTGCCCCTGCATCCCTGGCAGTGCCCAAGGCCAGGCTGGACAGGGCTGGAGCAGCCTGGGACAGGGGGAGGTGTCCCTGTGAACAGAACCACACAAGGGGAGAGAGGCAGAAAAACTGCATCACCCACACGGGGCACAGCTGCTGCTTGGGTGAACATGCTGCTGAATTTTTCTTTATTTTTTATGTGAAAACTGCTCAAGCTCTTTCTCATAACACATTTTGTCTTTGTAAATAATCCTTAAAGATTATTTTCATCACGGTCGTGGCGGTGTGCTTTGGAAATTACTTTTTGTAGTTGTGGTTAATGCTGGAGAGATAAGAAGAGATAAACATTTTTAAAATGACTTTCAGGCTTGACATTTTGCTGTCAGTATTGCATGTTCAGATGCACCTGTGCTGCAGAGATTTACAGGTGCACCTGAGTTGCTCGAAGCATCAACAGCCCAGAGCAGAGAGCTGAGCCAGGGATTTCAAACCTCACTACAAAATACTCAATAATTAATCTGCAGTGAGAATTTCCCTGTTGTAACAGGAATATATTATATAAGAGAAGGAAGTTCTAGTAACCTAAATGTAAATCATGGATCCAGAGGAGGTGGTTAAAAATGCATTCCTGTGATCAGGCAGATAAATCCAAAATGCTACATGTGTGTATTAGTCCAAGTTCTGAAAATGGATAAAATTACAAATCTGACCCTGATTCAGTGTCCTATTTCCATCATGGCCAATTCTGTTTGCACAGGACAAGGAAAGGCCTCTGGTGCTGCTGCCCTGCCTTATCTCCAGTCTTTACAGAAATCACCTATATCAGAGATGGTAATATTCCATTTTAAAGTGTCAATTCTTGGTATCTGTGGCATCCTGTACAAAGTCTTACAGAACTTGGTGCTGGAGGATGCTGTGGTTATATTTAGAGATTCACAGTGTCTGTAATCACTGTGTAATCAGTTTGGGTTTTTTCCCTGTGGTTATTTGACATCTTTCTCCTGTTTGTCCTAGATATGCAAGTTCTGCCATTGACCATCCAGGAAACACATCCATGAGGAAGGTGAGGATTTATAAATGTGCTTGAAACAAGCAAAAAACTCCTCAACTGTTCAATTCATTGCCATATTTTTAAAAAGTACCTTAGATATCCCAAACCTTGACATTTGCCATGTAATGGAGGAGCTGAAAACAAAAATCTAGGAATAATTTCCATGTTGAGGAGACTGGCTGCTGCAACCACAGCAGGTCAGTGTGCCTGAAATGCTTTTAGTTAAGGTTAGGAATTTAGAAATTCAATTAAGTTTGGGAACCTTGGTGTGTGTTCCAAGTAAGTGATGGTTTGGGGAGGAGAATCACACACCACATTGGGCTGGAAGGCACCTCTGGAGGGAGGCTTACCCTGAAGGTAAAGAAAACTTTTAAAACTCTTAGAATATTTACATAGTACCAATACTATCATAGGGAGATTGGGGATTAAGATTTTCAAGTATTTTTTATGGTACCAACTTTGAGGTGCTCCGTTTTCAATGGAAAATAGCTGTAAAAAAAGCCTTTTTTATTATTTAGCTTTTGTAATTATTTCATACAAAGGACAAACAACAGAACCTTCATTTGTGGAATGTCAGTTCTTCATTCTGACTTGACACTTTTTACACTTTTGAGGTTGGACAGGGCTTGGAGCACCCTGGGACAGTGCAAGGTGTCCCTGCCATGGCAGAGGGGATGGGATGAGCTTTAAGGTCCCTCCCAAACCTTTCTGTGGCTGTGATGACTCAATTCTAAACATTTTTCCCTAAAAATCCTGAGGTTAAAGCCAGTGGAGTTCCAAGCAACCAGTTTTACTTTTTGTTTCTGTGCCAGCACTTCTCCCACCCCCTGATTACACCGAGAACTCCTTAATTTACCTTCAGGAGCATCAATTCAATTCTGGCAGTTTTTAAATTTCATTTTTCCCTGCGCTGGCTTTGGGTGGGGTGGCAGGGTGGGCACTCTCAGGCTGTGGCCTCGTGGTGTGGTTTTGAGATAAGAATTGAAACACTGAGAGCCCCAGTGAGTTCTCCATCCTCTGTCTGTCTCCCATAGCAACTCTGAGTCATTTGGAGTTGTGAGTTCTGTTTCCTTGCAGTGTTTGCCACCAAGTTAATTATATTACAGTGGTTCTTTTATCTCTCAGAGTGTGGAGTTTGAATTTTTACCTTAGCAGTGCTAATTAACTACTGATTCCCAAGGTATTGCAAACCTCACATTTTTAGTTTCCTTGGTTTGAATACATTCTATGTGTGCATAAACAAAACAGGAAAAATAATTAGCTTTTAGAAGAAATATATTTTTTATTTCAGAAAGATATTTTCAACTCTCCCTTGATTTGTTGCGCTGTTTCTTTCATTTCATCCTGTAAGCATGTGCACTGTTATGGAAGTGAACAATCTTTCTTTTCTATTGTTTATAAACACTGGGTTTAAAATTTCCCATAATTTGACAGATTTTCTGCTGCTAAAGGGAAGATATATGGAAAAAAGTAGTGTCTGCATCTGTGTACAGATTGTGTCACACTCTGAGTTCCTGGCTGAGGTTAAATAAACTCATTTTTGCTTTGGAATGGTGCTGTCCATCCAGAAAGAATAATTAGCTAAGTGTTTTAGAAGAAAGATATGTTTTATTTCAGAAAGATATTTTCAGCTCTCCCTTGATTTGCTGTGCTGTTTCTTTCATGATTTTTAAAAGTTTCATATTAAGTGATGCATACCAGTTTCTGGGGAGTATCCTCTCCAGACATTTCATTTGTCTTGCAGTTCTTTAAATTTACCCACATTTCATTATAGAGTTTTATTCCATCCCTGCATGTCTCTAGCCTAAATTGGGGGGAAATTTGGTGATGTCTTTTTCAGAACACACCTGGTTTGCCCTGATGCATTTCCCTGTACAGAGGAACACTGAGCAGGTTGTTCCAGCCCCAGACCTCCAGCTGACCCAGCAGGGCAGATCAATATTGCTGCTGGGATTTGCATCCCATCCCCAAACCCCCCAGAGCTGCTGTGCACATTTCACACCTTCTCTCAGAGAATTTTGGTTTCATTTTCTGGATTTTGCCACGTTTCCTCCAGCACAGAGCATTCATCTTTGCCTCCTCTGAATGAAGGGACAC